ATTTAGCCTTCACAGACCATGCATCAAAAATCTCTGAAAGAAGCAGAGTGAAAGCGAAAGAAAGATGATGACACATCACCTTAATAAGATGTATCCAGTAAGCTCAGACCGAGTTCTCAGTTATGCTTCAGCATCACGAGTACCAAAATTCTACTGATAGATCAATGTTTCCACTACCATTGCAATAAGAGAGAGACTCTTTTCTGCATATCTTATGTAATTTACGGTCACACTAGTCTCTCTCCTTGCCTCCATTCTGGGCTTTTCCGACTTTGTGTCTATGTGTTGTTGCGGGTTCAGATATTGAGGGTGAGCACAAAAACACAAAAACAATAATGGTCCAGAAGAGCTTCGGTCAAACAATGATTTTAATGAACACACGCGTGGGGAGATGAACACTGCCCACCGACAGCATCGATCTCCGCCCAATAATACACAAACGGTTGTTTTATACCATCAGGGTTTGGTTTATGATGCCCCCTCATGCGTCAGAACACATACAAAGCACATACAATAATATTGACGACTTTCGACATATATGGAAAGAGCCTTCTCTCCGTCTCGAGGCCAGATGCCGACTCTCACTTATCTCCTGGAGCATACTGTCCCTTTCACAGGCATACTTTTGCAGCTACAGGCATTTGCAAACTGTTATTCGAACTCCTAGCCTAAACATGAGCCCAACTGTTGTCTGTGTGTTTGTGTCGACCTCCAACGCACTCAGCCTCACCCCGCCCATTGGCGCTTCTAACCTTTTCCCAGACAGAAGCTCTCAGTGGTGTGTGTAATAATCTTAACTAAAAGTATGTGTGATCTATTGAATAAATGCTTTGATGAAATGATAATTAATGTAATGGTAATAATGATGGTTATGAATAGTAGCAGTAAAATATTTCCCTGATCTCCACAGTGTGTGTCTTTCTACCATGTAGCGTCGAACTACCCAATTACCAGAGTTACTAATAATCTTGTATTCAAATGCATGAAAACATATTAAAGGCTTTTTTTTGCTTTGTATATTATCACAATCATCTAGCTTTCAAAAATAAAAATTGGAGCGTAAGATCTTCAGTCATGTCCGTGCAGCTGTAGGCGGGCCTATAAGTTTAAGCAGTTATGTAAGTGGCTTCAGTGTGTTCTTACTGGATACTCAAAGATCATGCTTTATTTTTAAAAGAGCTAGAAACTCCACATCGGGAGGTTTGAGGTTTGAGGGGTGGTTACAGAGCAAGTCACAGGTTTTTCAGTCTAAAGACTGGAGTTTGCTTCCTGATTTTTGCAGTTTATCCATTTTTTCTTTCCAATTTGTTTTGTTTTACCACTTGTTATAATTATTCCTTCTTAGCATTCCATTGGAACCTACTATAAGAAAATATGTTTGCTTCTTTTTAAGTTAAAATATGCCCCCTTGTGATGCCAAGGGTCCTTTCCCATGCATCTTTTAGGTTGGAAACCTCTCTCTCACTACTTAAGACCAGTGTGTCAGGACACAGATGAAAATGTCACCCGGTGCATAATTTTGAGATACCAGAAGTTTTGACAAATCAGCATTTGAGGCCTCAAGGAGGAGAAAAGACCAGCATATCTCAATTGCAGCAGCCTCCTTCAGCAGGACAGTCACTCAACGAACTACAAAAACTACTTTGAACACAGAGCTCAATGATCCATGGGTTGAAGTAGAACAAGCCTGAGCTGGCAATCCATTAGCAGGGGCACAAGGGGCAACGTACATAATATGCTGGTGGTTTTAATGTTGTGGCTGACCAGTGTAGAAAGACTGAGCAGCAGCCATCTCAGTTCTGCACGAGCAGCAATTGGAACCAGAACAACAAGCTACTCTGAAGCCAAGAGTTCTGTTCTACCTTTAATAACGAGCCCATGTGGATTTGGCTCATTACTCTCCTCCTGGAGAAGAATAAGTCCGAGTCTATTGATAAACAGACAGATACAGACACACGCATAGTTAGAGCCAGGATGGAGGAGAGGCTATTGGCCATTACAACTGTATCTGAACCGATCTCTGGACAGAAGCCTCGCTCAAACTGACGCAAAGAGGGGCCAAAATGGCAGGGGATCCCCATTTCTATTCTAACAGGACTGTGATAGACAGAAACATTCAGACTCTTTGGAGTTCGCTCCAGCAGCATTTTCTTCAGTCAATAGCATGTTGATTGTTCACTAAAACCAATCTCCCAGTGAAAAAAGAAGAAAATCTTGCATCACTTTAATCATGACTCGACTGCTAGACGAAGCAGGGGGAAATCACTTTTAAAATAGAAAGCAGCCTTGTCATCTCTCTCAAAGCATTTCTCTATGGTGGATTGGCTAAATAGACCTTTAACGATTCCATGGCGCTGCATGGCCTTTTCACTGTGCAGCTATGAAAAGTCATTTTCCTAATGCTTCACAGCTGGCAACCTTACTTGGAAAAAGTTCAGAAAAGCTGTTTCACAGATAACAGAAACGGCTGAAGTAAATCAGATGAAGTAAGTCTCCCGTGTGTTTGATATGACCTGGACAATTACCCCTGCTGTGCTAGTACATTACCTTGTTCCTAGTAATGAAGCCTGGAACTGTTAATAATTTTTTTACATTTAATACAAATGGAAAAAAAAAATCAGTCCTTGTCTATTCATATATTCCTTCTAAAGAAGCTTTGAAAAGGATGCCTTTATTTAACTTTATAGACCCTCTTTGTATTAGCATGCTCTTTGACATGCCTGGTAGGCAGAATAGAGATGGAGAATTAAAGGTTATCTTTTCACGATTTATTATCATGAAAAGAGGGCCTTTTTATTCACACATTTTTAAAAAATATTTCCCTGTTCATTAATTACACATTGAATTGTATGATTTGTGGTTCACAGGTTGGCTACCCATATATTCTATGTTATTAAAAAGATGTCAGACCAGTAGTTCTTAGTTAGTAATTGAATTTTTTTTATCATTATTAAAACTTCACAGCGTTTATAGGTTTATTAAATTTTGCATTTTGAAAACGACAAATGAGTTGCATCAAAAGAAAGTGCAGCTCTCATTTCAGCAGTCACAAGCTTATCCAAATGTAGTCTTATAAACAAAAGGCTTTTATTGTCAAATAATATTGCATAGAAATGTCTTATTCCATTTACATACAGAGAACCGTCTGCTGTTTTACAACAGCTGAAGGCTCGGTAGTATTGCCTGAGCACGGTCTAATAACTGCCTGTAGGAGGGAGACATTTAAAAGCTGATGAAGTGTTAAACATACTGTGCTCAAGGATGTTTCCTTGTCATTTTAAATCTCCATAATGTAAAATACATTGACATGCATGGAAAGACCCACAATCTCCATCTGGGGAACCTGCACACACACACACACACACACACACAATTAAACAAATCAAAAGTGGTATGGGTAACCGTTAAATGAATATTCCATTAGCAATGCAATCATGTCAAGAAACACTGTCAGTTACGATGCACTCTTAAATTGTTTGCTTCAGGGGAGTAATTGCAGCCCAG